CTCTCTCCCCAGCCACTTGGGCCAGCTCTTCCTGGAGAATCCCAAGGCGTTCTCTGGCCAGGCGAGAGACGTAGTCCCTCCAGTGTGTCCTGGGTCTCCCTTTCGGCCTTCTCCCGGTTGGACGTGCCTGGAAAACCTCATCAGGGAGGCATCCAGAAGGCATCCTAATCAGATGCCCACTCTCGATTTGGAGGAGCAGCGGATCTACTCTGAACCCCTCCCGGATGACTGAGCTTCTCACCCTATCTCTAAGGAGAAAACTCATTTTGGCCGCTTGTATACATGATCTCGTTCTTTCTGTCATTACCCAAAGCTCGTGACCATAGGTGAGGGTAGGAACGTAGCTCGACCGGTGAGTCACCTTCTGGCTCAGCTCTCTCTTCACTACGACAGATCGGTACAATGCCCGCATCACTGCAGATGCAGCACCAGTCATATATATGTACATGCAATGTGACTGACATCTGTTTGTAAATGGATGTCTAATGCTATTTGCTAAAGCCTGATTTATACCACTCCGTCTGCGTGGGTGCGGAGACACGCAAGGCGTTGATGCGTTGATGCAAGGGCGTTGCAACGGACCTGCAGAGGTTTTCGAGAGACATGCCCAAATTTTTTACTGTCCGTATAAAGTAACGGCAACTGCAAGCGTGTGATTGGACAGGATGCCGCTTCCTTTAAACTTGACCACAGCACCCCATTCTCCCCTCAAAAAGTACAACAAGTGCAGAAGATATTAAGGGGCATACATGGAGCATATCAACAAAACATCTCACAAGAAAAGTCTCATAATATAAACGTTTACGGTACGCAGCAACCCAGGCAGCAAACTTTTCATTTGTGAGTGGAAATGATGGGAAACGTGGGTTTAGAGGTGGGGACTGTATGAAGAGGCGGGAGAGAATGAGGGACTGACTTTTGGATCTTACAAGAAAAGCATTGAGCTGAATAAATTAACAGATTTTTTCTCTTTAAAGATGTGGTTCACTTTTTAATGAATACATTTTCAGTGGTCTCTAGTAGGAATGAATGCCTTGTACGTGGTGCTCAGATGTGCCTGTTTCCAGACATACACGTCAGCTGTCAGACGGCAGGATTTGGAGTCTTATCCCACTGTTCAAAGACCTAGTTTGGATGTCCTACAGGCGTGGTCTGGACCAACAGACTCAAATATAGACATGATCTGCATGTCCATGTGACGTTGACTGTTTGCAGGGATGTACTGATATTTGGACCTCTTCCATCAGATTGGATAACAGCATCAACACAACTCTTCCACTTATTCTGTTTGCTCTGCAGCTTTGATGTTTTATCTCCACAAAAAGCACAAGCCAGGAGGAGCTTCTGCCGTGTGGTGGGGTCGCTAATGCTAACTGTTATCTTCTACTAGCCGAGCCGCTCTCTGCTGTTTCCCGGACGCTAAACCAACAACAGCCTTCTCAGTCACGAGTCAAGATGGGTGAGTCCATGACAGTGTGACATAGATCTGTCAGGATTTCTAATCGAGTTTCACCGTCTATTTTCTATCAGAAGCTAATGCAGGAGATAGGTGTAGGAGACTATTTTCATGTTCAGCCTGCATGTCAAACTCAGAGTAATCAGATATAATCATTAAAAAATGAATTTTCAGTGTTCCACACCTTGAAAGTGTGAAATTACATCACAGAATCAATAAAAGACGCATCCTCCACGGTCATCTTCATTATAAATGATCAGTTAAAACCTGTATAAGTCAAACCCTGCTTAATATCACTGTGGCTCACTAACTCATTAAATGAGACCACCGGCTGTGTTTTGATTAAATGATTAAACAGCACACGTTTATAAGAGGCATTTGGGTTATTAACTTCTGTCTCACACGGCAACATCACACATCACCATACAGAAGATTAGCAGGGGTCAAATGACTCATTATAATGGGCCGCTCTGTGCTTTTTATGGGTAATTGCAAGGGAGAGGAACATACAAACCCTTTTCATTCATGATTTCAGTCATTCCATCCTCTCAAGTCTCATGTGAGTGACATTTGACCTGCTGTTGGGAGGATAAAGGAGGCAGCCGTGAGGGCAGCTAAAGGAGAGAACCCCTTTGATTTGCTGCCCACTGAGGGCCACGTGTGACCAACTTCTGCTAGTGAACGGATTTCAGGAGTTCAGATGGAGCAGCCAACCATTAGTAAAGTGGTTTCATTGATTTTAAAGAAAGCTTTCGTTTATGTGAGAGATGGCTGAAAGAGAGCTTGCACGATAAATGTAGTTTTAACGTGCTAATCCTTAAAAAAAAAAACAAAGATAAGCTGAAAACAGGGAAGAAACATGCTGTTACAATGAAGGACAGGAAACTAGGGATAGACCATCGATATGAGGCCGATATGTATCATATTTTTATATATTTATCACATTGGCCAATATTTCTCTTTAATAGAGCCGATTTAAAGTAAGGCCCATCCGTGGGCAGCACTGTGCTGCTGCTGGATTTGGATTTGTATATATACATCCCTGATGTTTCTGTTTATTGACCCGTTTCACATTTAATACTTGGTCAGTTTATCAATGTTTGATTTTATTACTGAGCACAAAATTAATATTGAACAGCTGGTAAAATTCAGAGTTCAAAAGCTGATTCCTGTTCATAAACATTGATTCACTGATGTTGTCATGACAAACTAGCATGTAAATAAGGTGGAAAATATAAAGATCAGGTCAGCTGGAGGTCCTGGAGGGCCGGTATCCACAAAATATCAGCCCCGGCATTTCTTGGGGTAGGGCTGAAACCAGAAATTTCTCTGTCCCTCCAGCTGTCAGAGCGCAGGGGGACGCTCACATAAATTTGCCCCTCCCGCCGGCCATCAGAGTGTGTGTGTGTGTGTGTGTGAGGGGGGGGGGGGGTTAACACCTTATTTCAAAGACCAGGTGATTAACAGCTTTCTAAAGAGCCTCGTGAGCTGCTGAACAGGTGATTCAACCACTGACTTAAGTGTTGTGGAGCAGAGAAACATCATAAACAGCGGCTCTCCGGGACCAGAATTGAGTACCTCTGGACTAGAGATTAGCCATGAAAATCACCCCCAAAATCTGCAGCAGATATCGGCCATCGGCTGACTGACCTTTACATTTCGGCATATAGAGAAACCCCCATATGTGTCCATTTCTACAGGAAACTGTTATTATGGCTTTCTGACGCATTTTAATTATTATTGCCCCATATTGGTCATTCTGTATTTCTAGTTTTCCACCTAATACACTTCATGAAGGCCGAAAAAATATGATAAACATTTCTTTTTTCTAGTAATTTAAACTTAAAAAAAATTTTTATGATCAGTTAACACTTTTTTGTATTTTATATATTCCCTTAGTTGTCCCGTTTTTTTTTTTTTTTTTACCTTTTTCCATTATTAACCCAGTTCATGGCTGCTCTTCATGGCTTTTAGCACAGATTAATGCTCTTTTTCAATGCCCCTTTTGCCTCTAATTATCCCGGCTGGAAGGAATGCAGACTCGTTCCGCCGTGTTTTAATCCCAGCTGCAGTGACCTTGAACTTTCACTAAAACAAACGGCCAGGAAAATGTCAGAGAAGCAATAATTTGACATATAACCTTCAATCATGAAGTATAACTATTTTCATCCTGAGTTTGTTTTTAAGAATCTGTCAAAGGTAGCGTACACTAAAACTCACTGCTGAAAGAGTTAAACTGGTTTATGCTTATTTCATGAGAAGACTTCTGCACGACTGCTTCCTGAATCTACAATGCAGACGTATGTAGATTTTGGGCTAATTTTGGACTCTTAAAAATAATAAACCCACCCAAACTAAAACGCTGGTGCAGCACGTTGCTCTCCCTTTACAGCCCTTCCTTTTCAAGAACCCTCTAAATTGCTTCCATTTATAGCAGATTTTTCATTTGCAGCATATAGGCTGCGAGACATTAATGTTATCTTTAGGTGCAATCAAATTCATCCCAAGAGGGATGTCTTGTAAGGGAAAAGAGCACATTTACTGGGAGGAATTAAGTAGAAACGGAGCAAACTGGTGACTGAGGTGAGCCTTTTGGAGACAATAGCTTCTAAAAGACTCTACCTGCTCTGCCAGCAGCAGCACCGGTTCACCGAGCAGCTCAGTCAGATGCTTCCTGACACATCATTTCAAGGCTACGTCACTGTGAAGCCAAGAAAAGGGACTCCGTATATGTTATGCATCACTGGGAATTTTTATTACTACTCTTATCCTATTAAGCTTTGTTTCGGTGACTGCTTGATGGAGGACTGTGTGAGAGATGGGGCGATGACAACGAGAAGAAAGTGAGACAGGAAAGTAGGCCTGCATTCTCCAAAACACTGTAGAGGTTTTTTTAAGGTGTTATGACATCACACCCAGAATCCACTGCAGCTTTGCACAAGATATTTATATTAATGAAGACAGCAACAGCTCTTGACGTTCACTGCTCCCCACTCTATTGCGTTTCGTGCCCTACAGAGTTGATCTCCTTTTGTGTCATCCTGCAATTCAAGAAAATAGGCTACTGCTGAGCACATCATCAGTTGCTCCTGAGCTCTCTGGGTTTGGTATGGCTTGAATGGCAATTTCCCCTAAATGATGGAGATAAATGTATGTACATCTTCATGCGGTGGGCTACTGAAGACTGGTAGCGTTCACTTGCCAACGGGGATAAACCTGATGGAGATTTATGGGGTTTTAAGCTGGCCTATATATTTGGTCTTATGTGAAACATCTGTGTGCATGTGGAGGCTTCTGCGAGGGGAAGACACTCCGTATGCCAGACTTGGCTCAAGAAGCAGGAGGAAAAAGGGAAGAAAATGTGTTTCCACAACGTGACTGCATTCAAAGGCTGAAAACTGTAATTTGAGATATGAATTCATTACACGGGCTTCTCATCAGCAGACAGGCAAGAGGAAGGAGCGAGTAACATGACGCAACAGCGCCCCCTAGCGCCGCCTGTGAGGAGCTCCGGTGTGATCTGATTTGGATCCGCGATCCTTACCTTCGGTGTCACAACGCGTGGCTGCTGCGGCCGCGGCTGCGGAGTCGTGGGGGCTTTGCGCCTTCTTCTTCGGAGTCCGTGCGGTGAATGCTGGGTTTTATTGTGGTTATTATTATGTCTGTGCGGGGAGAAGCCGTGCAGGCAGCCGCCACGACCCGTGCGTTTGCTGGCATGTCGGTTCCTTCTCACAGCGTTAGTGAAGCCAAAGGAAAAGTGCTCAAACTTGATCTGGAATTTTGACAAAAAAAAAAGAAGAAAAGCCAAAAGGGTTACTGTGACGCTTCAAAACTTCACGTTGACTGACATCTCCTCTCGCGCGTCTGCAGGCAGGCTGGTGTGTTTACGTGGGCTCTAATGCCACCGGGGTTCCCGTGACTCCAAAGCAAAAGGCGCACATGTGTTTGCGCGTTACTGCGAGCGAAGGTGCGCGTGCCTTGTCACTGGATTTTATTCTGGTGTTTCCGCCTTCCTGTCTTTCGTGTGTGTGTGTGTGTGTGTGGGGGGGGGGGGGGGGTGCAAGTTAATATAAAATGTGACAATCTAGAAGGTTGTTTGTGTTTATGATTTTAAAATAGCAGAGAGAGGGGGAGTGAGTGAAGGGGGAGAAACAGCCTGTGGCTACTTGATGAATGGATTCCCCTCACGCGCCTCTCTATGTAGGGCATGCAGCAGGTTGTGTGTGTGTGTGTGTGTGTGTGTGTGTGTGTGTGTGTGTGTGTGTGTGTGTGTGTGTGTGTGTGTGTGTGTGTGTGTGTGTGTGTGTGTGTGTGTGTGTCGAGGACTCGGGCTGAACGACGCGGAGCGCAGAACACACACCAGCCGCTGCTCCACTTTAAGGAAAGGGTAAGGTGAGTGCGGCTGTATCAGAGGAGACTTTTCTTTTTGACTCAAATTAAAAATAAGTCCAATCAGGCTCACCCCATTCCCGTGACACATCTCTCCAGGCGGCCAGGTGGAGATGACATTGCAGCCTGTTACTCCATTCGGGTGCCCTCGGCACGAGCGGAAATCACAAACGACTCTCCTCCGTTAGATTAATCCATCTATTTATTCTCCATCCAATCTCACCTCCAGGAAAAATAGCAAACAGCCCCAAAACTGATAAATCCACCTGTCTGGTTCTGAAGACCTGCGCCCTCCGCCGCCACCTCTCTCCCGCCTCCCTCCGGTAATTGGTAGTAAGCTATTCCTCTTGCTGCGATGTCAAACGCGGTCCATATCAGCGGCGGAGTGGAGAAAAATGAATGATGGTGAAAAAAAATAAAAATAAACAAGCCCCCCCAAAAAACAAAATAATAAAAAAGCCACTGATGTGCGGATATCAGTCAGACTGTTGGATCCAGATAAATAATACCCGTTGGTTTGGAATCTCCAGCGGCAGCCCGCGCGTTCCGCAGTGAGGGCTCGTGGACAGGTCCGCGCGCCACCTCCTCCTCCTCTTCTCCTGTCCTCCACCTCCTCTTCTTCCTCCTCCTCCTGCTGCTTGCGCCGATCTCCGGATTCTTGGAGACTGTGGAGGGGATTCTGTCACAAATAACATCAAAACGCGCACGCACAGAAAAGAAGGGGAAAGGAATGACGAAAATAAATCTCCCTCTCCCTCTCTTCTCTCGATCTCCAGTTTTTTACTCCTTTCTCGCGCGCTTTTCGGGGCGCCCCGAACAAATGCGGGACAAGTTTAAACGGGTCGACTTATTTGCGTGGCTTCACTCGCTGCTGCGCGACGGAGATGGTTCTGTTTCCGACTGGGAGAGAAATGAGGGAAATATTCTCCGGCAGTCTGTTTTTCCCCCCGCAGCCCGCCCGCCCACGCTTCGCTGGCTGAAGGTACTTACACATCAGCCTAGTTAATTAAACATATAAGGGTTGGAGAGAGAGGGGGGAGACTTGGGTGACTTCATCCTCCCGTTATGAATGAGGAAAAGGATGCAGAAAGAGGCGAGTTGGAAGTGCGCACTCGGGAAATTTCGCAGCGTTTCCGCCTAAATATTAAAAAAAGGAGAATGCGACTCCAACTTCCCAGCGCGCGAGCTGTCCAATGCGCGCCTGTCCGCGTCGCGTGGGCTACACCGTTTCAGGGCCCGCCGCGTGCAGCTTCTCATCCGAAGTGAAGTTCCCGAGAGGCGCAGCATCATTTGTCGTGTTTGGCATCACTTGGTGCCATCTCGCCAAACGAATCAGTGCGCGCACGCGCTAGTGCGTTTTGTTCACTGCTGTCGCGCGCGGCTGTGCGCGCTGTGACGACTGTCTCCGCGTCAAACAAGTGCTCCGTCGCGCCTCCGCACCTCACCAACCGCGCACTGATTAAAAATAATAATAAAAACTGTTCAATTTCCGCCGAACTGTTGTAACCTAATAGCGGTCCCCGCGTGCAGACAGCGACACACACCCTTCCTCAAAATTAAAATCTCTTGGACACGACTGCACTGAAACATTTATTGCTGATGGTGTGTCATGTTCCCTTGTCAGCGCCGGGGGTTTTGTTTTTGTTGTTATTTTTATTTATAGGAGTGAGATGAGAGGAAATGGAGAGCGCGTTAGTCTCAATTAAACAATAATTAGCCGATGAAAAACTACAGCGCAGGGGGACAGGGGTGTGCTCGGGGACCCGGCTTCTCCCCTCCGAGTGTTGTCTTTTGGTCCCATCGCAGACAGATGGTGAAGATGGTGTCATGTTAGCATACAGGCCCGTCATACACTGAATTGCCCTCTGAGGCAAGAAACAGATCACAGGGCTTTGTTATTAATGAACAGTTCACTGCCCTCTCCTTCATCCTCCTCTTCCTCCTCCTCTTCCTCCTCTTCTATCCCTAGAATAAAAATCTCCACCTGTTGAGGTCCCCTATCCTCCTCCAGATCCAGAGCCTCCCGGGCTTGGAATGAAAGAGAAATGCATGATTGCGTAATGTGAGCATAAAAAGAGAAGGAGAATGACCACACTAAGAGTGGTTCGTGCTTCTTTTGAGGAATGAAAAAAAGTTTTTTGTTGTGTTTCAAATGCCATTACTGCCATCATCATGCTGCCTTAAAGGGCACCACCTCAGATCATTAAGATGGTTTATTATAAGGCCAATATTAAAAGCACATTGTCAAATTTCACATAAACACACAAAACTCCATAACCTTGACCACAAGGTGCTCAAGTGCACTGCTTGGTTCTGATGCACTCCCATTTTTATGTTGGCAAGCATCAATATGTAAATCAAACATGGTGGGATGTATGCATGTCCTTTTGCAACACCATTAGCCTTTTTAAAATTCATTCACCATTTTAATTATTATTTTATTGAAACTAAATAGAAGAGTAAATAAAAGAAACCCAAACTTGGGTTAAATTCATCCCATGTAGTGTTAAACTCAGTCAGTCTAAATTTGCCCCTGTGCTTAATCAATAAAAGGCTCCAAATTGGATTCTGTTTAACACACTAATCTTTGAGGTTTTGCAGAGCAACTAAGGTTTAAGTAGCTTTTTATTTTTTTAATCAAATTATTACATTGAATTTCTTCTTCAGAATGATGCTAAAAGTACCATTTATATTTTTAGATTAGCCTTTTATCACAAATTTCTGCTAAACTCAGCATCCCAACAATATATCTCCTTTTGCAAAAGTTTGCTTTTTTCATTTTAAAACAGAAACAAAAATAGGGGACATTCACAGATTTCAGAAATAACATGAGGGATTGATTCATTAAAGTGACAATGTGTAGCTTTTACCATTAATCTCTGCAAAATCCATCGAAATGTTGTTGTAAATGAATAAAAAAATGCCCAGTTGTTGAAAAATATGGGCAGTTTCATGACACATAACCATAACAATCTGTTCTAAAAGACATGGGAGCAGGTCTAATGGTGCTTCTCAATGCCAAGGAATCGTGCCTTGATGTCTTGGCCCCGCCCCGGTTGCCTAGGAGATACGTCATCGGGAGCCGCCAAGACGTGTTCCAATCGGTTCCAATGTTCATGTTCTTCCGAGGCGTGTGTTCTCCGTTTGTTAGCTGTTTAGCCAGCTGAGCAAGAATACACAGGAGGTGTCTTGTAGCATAGCCTTGATCAAAAATTACCCACAATACACCGCAATATTTTCAAAAAGACGGCGGATCAGAAGCCGGCAGCTACTTCGGGGACAATTTTCAAGTTTGAAAGTAAGTCAGCTAATTTAAAATGTTTTTATTTTTAAATCCAAAGAAGTTTTCTATTGTTGGTTAGTTGCTTAGTGGTTGCAGCTTCGGTGGCTGGCGGGTGGTAACTCGCTTATATTTTTAATTTAATGAACATATACATAATTTAAAAAGTAAAAAGGCTCGTTATATATTTATATTGAAACTAATACATATAAAATATAAAGTTATCTCCCGTGTCACGTGACGTTACCGCGGTGGAAGCCGCGGTAACGTCACGTGATGCAAGTCTGTTCCATTTAACCATTTTCTTTGACCAAGAAAGGACAGTGTCCTTGCAAGCAAGGTGCCTGGCCTCGCAAGACATCGCCTCACAAGGCAAGGCGCCTTGACATTGAGAATCACTCTCAGTCTCTGTGCGACGCCATATTGGATGCCATGTTTCCTTCTACGGAAGCCCGTGAGGACAAAACACATTTACTAATTTGTAACAAATGGTTACAAAACTTTCACCAATAATAAACATTGTTGTTTTACACATTTAGTCATTGCCATTTGACAGGGAATTTGATGTGTTTGTCATTTACTGGAGATTGCACTCCCAGGGATTTTTGACCCTAATGGCCATCCGTTGGTAAGGTCTTACTTGAACACAAAAATTATGCTTGCTTGCAATAATTTAGATATCTACTGCCCTCTATTGCCAGGGAAAACACTCTCTGTCACTTTAACATTATTCCACTGGCTTCATTAATCCAGAATTGTATTTTTAAATCCTCAAACCCGAGGTTCAAAAATGGCTACAAATCCCCTATAGTTGAAATAAAGATTCAGAAAAATGTCAGATTCCTTACGGGATTGTTTGGGCTTGCTTTTAGTGCCCCCTAGGGTCTAGTAAAAACGAATGTAAAACACCACCTCTGACTGTTCGTTCATCTTTTTAACACCTTAATCTAACAGCTGAAACATCTCCTAAGCTCTCTTCACACGAAAACGGATCTTTTTAAAAACTCCGGCCAAAGTGAAGATCTGCGTTTTCTCCGTTTTGGGTGCCTGCGTGTGGACAGACAGAACCAGAGTTTTAAGGTCCACAACGTCACTTTCCGCGGCAAAAAAAATGCTGACATCACTTGTGCGACCTGTGTTTACACTAGCCGGCATCATGGAAGCCCTCAGAGCTGTGCTCGCTTTATCAATTGTCCAAGCGCTTTTTGCTTGTTTGTTTTTGCAAGAGGAATTACTGCTCCTTGCGGAAGACCACAGACGAAGGACGAGGTTAAGAACGGGGACGTACTGCCGCCTACAGGTCTGGCATGTCCTTAACGTGTTTATCCGGGTACGTGTGGACAGTTTTTTTTTTAAACGAGGTGGTGTGGATGCAAGTTTTTGGAGGGGCGGATATTCGTTTTTTTTAAAAACCCGGCTACGTGTGGACTAGGCCTGAGAGTCAACCTACAACACACTCAGTTCATTCAGTATGCTCACCAAAATATTGCCCAGTAAAGCTTTTTTTTTTCTTTTTTTTTTCTGTGTTTAAACATAAAGCAGTTGTCAAGGAAATAAAGTCACACATTTCCCCGAGCCTTCACAAGAAAGCTTTTAAAAACTGTGCTTTCCTCTAATCTCATTCAAGGATGTGCATGCCTGCAGACCTCCCTATAGTCATTTCTGGGACATGACCTTTCTCAGGGTTCTGCACAGACTTGAGGATTTCACTTTCCTGTAGTGTGCAATCATCAATGTGAGTCAGCTCTGCCCTGAGTTTTTGTAGCATCCTACAGGCAGCACAAGAGTGGCTGGGGGCTGGATGGGAGCCATCTGAACGTGTGCCCCTTTTATTATAATAGATTTATAACCGGTGGTCTCGGTCATCATGCATCTTTCATGCACCATCAGCACACTGGGCAGAAGTTACCCAGGCATGTCATGCTGCAGAGACAAAGCCGGACAAACATGCAAACACTCCGCACAGGTTCAGACGTACCCTGCAGCATCCGAACATCCCATCGAGCTGCTTTTACCTCTTCATTTCTGCACTCTAATTAAATTTGACAAGGCTGTTGTTAATAGCCTGTGCTGGAGTGTAATTATAAAATATTTGGAAAAACAACGGAGAGCCATTAGCACTTAGTGTTTTAACAGCATGCTAAGGATTTCGTTATTACTCTGTATAATTATTCGAGAGAATAACTCATTCAGCTATTACTATTAAGCTAATAATCAAAAGTGCAGCTTTCGACCATTCCTGGAATGGATCAGAGGATGGAAAATGGAGACAAATAAAACATTTCCTACTAGAAAACAAGATGGCACACACGTCGACCCATTAAAAAATAATGAATAAATGGAAAAATAAACTACAATGGAGATAGCATGAAGGTCTCTGACAAAAAGATGTATCTGATTATGTAATTTTTGTATCCATGGTAACTGAGATTTCACTGTCACCACTTTGTTATGTCAGAGACACAACCCATAAAATACAAGTTTAATGGTTTTAGAAAAGTGCCGGACAGCAGAGCGTCTGTTCAGGTATTAAAATCAGGACCCAGATATTTGAAGAGACATGGACAAATGTTACTGATTAGTGCGGAGCAAACAGGCTGGTAGCAGTCCGCTCTCTGACTAATTAATGTAGAAATCATCCAGCTTAAACACACAGAAAGTAACTGTACTTATCAACTTCATTTAGAGATTGTTTTAGTAAAAATACACACACTTCCACACTTTTTGTGTTTTTAATCCATTTTAAAGAATCTTTACATGTAAAAGTCATCCATAATACTACTGGTATACTCTTTGTATACAGCTTCCTGAATGGCCTCAGTTCAAAGAAAGAGAATCTTTAAAACTCCACTGTTTAAAGCTGGTCTCAGTTTATGCTTTATTTGAGATCAGGGCTGTTATTTAAATTCATTCACTGCCTTCTGTTTTCTGAAGCCCCTGACTGTCAGCGTTTTTGAGCATTTTTACTGTTTTTTTGAAGAGCCACAGAATATTGTGCTTTATGATCATGTAAACACCAAAATTACAAAAACAAAGAGTAGACTAATGTCTTACATCAGGAAGAAACAGCGTGTTTTTAGATTTTTCTGTTCTTTTGCAATCCGTTGTCGAAGTGTGAGTTGCAGAAGCTTTTTGGGCTAGCACCTAGCTTTAGGCGTAGCCGCGTCCCAAAACGACTCCTAATTCATGGATTGTCTGCTTCATGATC